CTTTTTAAACTTGAATTTTAAACAAACTTCCACTTTAAGACTATTGTATAAAGATCGTTTGTATTCCCAGAGCGATAGCTCAAAAGCACTTTTCTAAGCTCATTAAGAATCTACTCAACCAGCATTCAACGGTATCCAAGATGAAAAGAAAATCCTCAAGGAGCATCCAAAAATCGAATGCGAGAAGTGCTGGAATCCGCGCAGTAGATTTGAAATACAGGTCATATGAAATAGAAAAAAGTAGGAAGCATATTACAATCGAATAGATATTTTCCTTGGAGAAGTGTGTGCATACTGCTTGTTTCGTTAATTCTTACTTTATTATTAGTATTTATTATTATGCTTATTTCCTTATTATTGCGTTCATGTATTACACTCTTTCTTTTGATCTCAAAGTTCTATTTTAAAAAGTCATTCTTTAAAAGCTGGAAGTTCTTCTCAATAGCGAGTATGGTATGAATATGGAATTTGCACTGTAGTAAATATCTATGAGCATCAAACAGCGCGTGTGGCGCAGTGGTTGGAGGCGCTCTGCGATGCACATGATGTCGATCTCCCCGCCCTAGAGTCACCAAGTTCTCCATCACAAGGGGTCAGCGGTTTGGTACCAGAATTGTCTGGGAGGATAGCAGCACTGGCTTGATACATCGGTAGGCCACCGGGAGTCATTGTAAAGGACAGATATGCATTCAATCACCTCCAAACGATGCTTAATGAAGTCGAATGCATGGCGCATCCCTCAAGGATTGATCAACGCAAGAGCTTCAGAGCTTCAGCTTCATCACTGTTTCTATTAAACGAGAATTCTAGAAACTGCAATCAAGCGAATGTGGAGTAGTTTTTCAAAGTTACATTTTTCCTCATGAATACTCAAGGTACGAAATGGTAATAATCACTTTACTACATTTTCTGGATCGTGAAAACTCTACTACTGCATGGAGTGTGCTGCCTGCGACGAATCCAGTTCCTAGGTGCTTCTGATCTAATTCTAAACCTCAGATTTGAATGGGCGTTAAAACGCTTATAGAAACATATTCAAAAGAAGCCAGATCGAAGAATGCGAAGAATTATCGTTGTTGTGGCCGAATTATTTGTTTTTCAACGATCCCTTTGAGAGAATACCACACTGTGTCGGAAGCAACATGTTGACAAAATCGTATTCCGACCTTTAGTCTTAAAGAATCAAAGAAGAATACACTCATTGTTTAAAGCCGAGGAGTAACTAACTTGGTTGAATACTATATAATAGAGTGAGGAAACGGTTGTTTCATAGGAACAAAAACTTGGAAAATGTTCCAAATACATCGTGTGTATAAGAGAAACTTGTCAGCCGCCGTGGTAAAGTGATAAAATGACAAAGTCCCTCAATGCAATTCCTCTCTTTACTAAATTTAGGTTAGTTCATGAAGAATGGAGAGGTGATTGATTGTCCATATGCCCTCTTCAATGATTTGCAGTGCCTTAACCGATGTATACCAAGTCAGTGCTGCTATTCTCCCAGACGAGTCTGGTACCAATTTCCGCATCCCCTGAGGGATGGGAGGCTTAGTGATTGCCTGACTCCCTGCCCAATGGTAGCACGTACGTTTATAATATCGTTATGATCGGTGCAACGAATACCTTTCCTTCTTCGAAACCTCGTTACTGGTAGCCTCATTTCGAGGGTTCTTTCTTAGTTGCGATTCGCCAAACGAAACTTATTTCTGACTTAATCTGCATTTCAGTTCTTAAGCTTCCAGCTTATTTCAATCTACGTATCAATTCTGAAACGAGTTTCTGCGTTGTCGATTGCACGACTTAACTAGTATTTCTGTGACTCAGTGTTGCCAAAAACCGGATGTTGGGTAATCGGCTTCTGCAACAGTGATCATCCTCATCTCTTCATGACTGTTACAACAACGTGGTTACTTTGTTATTGGTCAGGAAAACTAAATGTTCTCAAAAAGCAAACATTTAGAAACTTCTATGAAATATTTGGAACTGAAATTGCTCACAAATATCAGCGTAGAGAAGAAAAACCCCATACGAAAAAAGTTTTGAGAGTGGGTGCTGTAGATCGCTCGTTCCTTTTTTATGCAGTTTCCTATCCGTGGGGTCAGGCGAGCCATTTCTGTTGCTCTATTAAGACAATAGAGCTTACGAGTGAAAGCTGTTGTGACATATAAGAGGTTTGGGCGAACTCTGGCAGGAAAAATCACCATTAAACTTGCTGATATTGAATTTAAAAAAAAATACCAAAAAATCACTGTGGGACCATGTACTCACTGACCATCACTGACTTTATGTGTACAATCGTCAATCGAATTTGTAGCTGAATAGTCGAAAGGGGACTAGTAGTTGAGCAAACGAGTGGACGACCTTGTTTTAGAGCTGAATAAAGGCCACCGCACAAACGTTTGATTGCATTCTTCTTCTCGAATTTATGTGCAGGCAAGCATACATTAACATATCTGCGTGAATACAGAAGCTATATCTTAAGTGGACGCAGTATATGTAGAGAATCCATTTGTGTCAGGAGGCACAACGGCGTTTTTTTGCCTGCGTTTAACACTCTAGCCGTCATCTGTGAAGCGTCATATGGTCTCGCGCTTGACCCGCTGAGGGCCTCGCGGTAGATATTTAGTGGCAGAAGGAGTGAAAATAATAGGCCTCAGCACTCGATAAAACGAAGATCTTTGCTTACACGTACACTGTTATCTGATGGCTCCATTAGGGAACTAGTAATGCACAGCGAAAAGATTGAGTGCAACGGCACTGAAGTGGCTGAGACAACACTACACCGACCATCAAATTTCTTTCATAATACTGAAGAAGAACTGTTTCTGAGAACATACGATCATAAAGAAGTTAGGATGTACTCCTCAGCTCAGATGCAGCCATGAATGAAAATCCATCCTTGGAATAACTAGTAACTCAAATCCTGAGCTCTATACGGTCCTATGCTGTCAGTGTTCATCGTCTACGCTCCATCATCAAGCTGTTACGAATATGAGACGCTTGGCATGTACTTGAAGACATTCTACACAGAATGCCTCTTTTTCAACAACATATTAGCTATGTCAATGGAGAGGCTGGACCGAAGAGAATGTATGAGGAGAATAACGCTGGAACTCACGGATTCGAGTGGAATGAACAGATGAAGCTGCAGATAATTATCCAGACTTAAGGAATATACCGTCATTAAAGCATTGCTGAAAATTACGGAAAAAATGCAGTAATGCAAGCAAAGTTAAAAGTTCAAAAGCCGTCAAGCGACTCTTGTCGATTAAAACACCAAGGTTGATATGCAAACGTGAAACCGCATTATTTGTAATCGGCTACCATCTCTTGCCCAAATTTGCTCTGTAATGCAGGAGAATATCCTAAAAAAAGAGAACAAAGCGGTGATGGATTAAGTTGCAGAGTTTGCGAAGACCAGCCAGAACATCTGCGAAAACTTTGCCAATCACAAGGCTAAGATAACTTCCGGACACCAGCTGGAATTGTCAGAGCTTCTAAAAAACAAATGGGGAGAATCATCTACGAATACTACGTCGATGTATTCAACAGCTGCAACGACGTCCTCAGATATGAAGGAGGGTAGATATGTAGATTCAGCGATTGTTTGTTGTTATGACCGAGACACTATCCCGTCGATGACGAACACTAGAACACCCCGTAGGGATAGGATAAGACCGAAACATCTGATGAACCTCCTATTAGTCCTTATCATCACACTGGCTGCCTCTTCACATGTAACGTGTCAGAATCCGAGATTCCTAGTTAATGGGCTGTTGCAAAGTCCGTTGTTATGCAAATAGAGAGATCTCATCACATCGGCAACAACTGTCCAATTTACTTGTGGAAGGATTAGTCTTGAACCAAACTTATAAAGGACAATTCTCGTAGAAAACTGATTTGTTTATGATTCCGAACTCACACTGAGCGGAATCAATGTCAAGAAAAAATTGAAGAATGTCCGATTGCATGTTCACCCTTTCAAAATTGCGATTCTTTGTGTTTTAACGTACACGTTACAAGCCTCGACATTACTTTGGCAGGACTAAAGATCAGTCAGCGTTATAGAATGCGCATTTAAGACGGCAAAACGAGGAGTACTCCGCATTTATGCAAATGAGTGGGCAAAACTTCCAAAGTACGTCAACAATCAAAGATCAGAGTTGCAGCCATACGCGGAAAAATTGGAAATCAGGTGAGCCGAGCACGTGGTTTATTTTAAGGCCATCGACAAACAGAAACATTTAGCAACTGGATCACAGAAGGTGTCAAGCACACAGCACGAAGGTTACCGACCCGACTATTGATAATGTTAGCTAAGATCCTAGAAAAGAAATATCATCCTTAGGAAATCTCTGAAGCGAGTGCAACAAACTGGGCTATTCACGAACGAGGTAGTCATAAAAGGAAATCTACTCCTACACACTCGATTCATTTGATGATCAATGACAGAACAGTACATCTGATACCGTAATTCATTCTCGAGGTACAGAAATTGAGTAGAAAACACGAGAAGTAGATTGCTACTAAAATTGAACACCATGAACTTCAGAGAGAATCTTGTACTGAAATTTCCAACCAGTGCAGAAAAACAAGTCATCCGCAATTGCTTCTAGGCCCAGTGCTTGAAAAACAAGTCATAATGTAAGTCAGAAGTTACTGATTACCAAATACAACGTGATTTTACGAGTTCAGTTAAGCTTGCGGAAAATTGACCCATGAATTGAATCTCTGGCTGTTTTCTCTTTTTTCTATAATTCTGTCGAAAACACCATCAATATTTAGCAGTCAATTCCAGAATTTTTTTTTTTGAAGAAGCTCTTTTTGAAGACAAGTACAACTTCGTAAAACTGTTCAAGTGCTTTCACAACGGAAACTTCCACTGTACATCAGTAAGAACTTCCACTTAATCTTCGTAAACACCCTCATAACTTGTTTCCCCGTTTTCAAAATAACAGCCATACGCATTGCTCGATTTGTTTTCGAGCAGCTATCGATTTCTAATGACTTCCAGTTTTTTAAAAGTTCTCATTAATGCTTCCGGATTTCAGCAATTGTTTGCATCCGGAGTTTCGTTGATTGCTTTTCTGGTGTGTGGAGGCGTTGAAACTTGGTACGCTACTGGCTTTGACCACATGTCATTTTTTATTATGGTAAGTTAGGAGTTGCTATTAATACACGCCTATAGCAATAACTGTGTCCACACGGGTGCAGTGGGTATATATATATGTGCACATATGTGCATATATATACATATATATATATATATATATAACGTCCATTTCACTTGTAGTTGGATTAATCCACGTTCACACAGAGACTATTGTGTGCCGGTGAAATCCACATTACTTGCAGGCCATCGGAAATGGCGTCGTGTCGGGCTGTGCTGGACTCCCTGGTTGTCAAATTCAGTTCGTAGTGAAAGGATGGGCAGTGGCAGCTGTGGGTTTCAGCTCTTTTTTCCGACCAGTAATGTATTCACCATATGGTGCGCTTCCTTGAATTTTCTTACCTTCAAAGAAAAAAGTAGCGAACTTCCTGGCATAGCTTTTTTGTTTCATCCGCAAACTCTTCCTAGGAACTTCTTATATGAGAAAACCATTCGTTGTATACCGCACGTGGTGGTGTAATATTTTGCACTGTAATCGTCTGCATTAGTTCAAAGTTATATAATATATCCATTTATACTTGTTGTACCAAGAAATCCTTAGGTGTTCTAACAGCAAAAGGCGTTGAATTTTGTCAATATGGTAGATTTGCAAACAAGGCAAATACATAGCTGGGTCTACAGAAGCGCCTAGTGTGCCACTGTTGCATTTTTGTAAGAAGAAGAAAATCTAAGAGCACTTTTCCAGAACTGTTTTCAGGCGTTTTATTTCCTAGGCGGATTGCTCTACCTTCTCGATATGGGCATTGTATTTGCAAAGAAAGACAAGTACGTTTCCTCGTTGATATGCTGATTCGTCCCATCGTTTACTAATGCTTTACATCATCGCTTTTGCTTCGCTTTCTTCTGAATAACAATTGAAGTAATCGGATGTACGTAATGATCTAAACATGCGAGTACAAACGTTCCCACAAGTACGATTTCCTTTGTCTTTTTTAAAAAATTCCTCCTCAGAAATGGGTTTAATGGCATCGATTGGTCACTGTGTCAATAAATACCGTGAGATTCGATTCTTTCGTTGTCTTAATGTAAATAGGGTTCTCGTCATAAAGCGTACTAGTAATTCACGAAAGTTGGAATGAAATGTGTGCGCCATCTATTTATGCAAAGCGATCTGCAAAATATTGCAAATCATTCTGGGATAAGTGGGAAACGTCATGGAATGAGTGATGAATTTAAAGTTGCTTCCACAGAACCACTTTATGATTAAGTATAACACTGCATCATTGGTTCCCATTACCGACTTCCTATTAACATGGGCGTTGATCCAATAAATTTTTAATACCCTTGCTGAACAAACACGAGGTGTTATTTTATCCTTTATTGACGAGAAATCTGACGCTTTGGCATATTTGGCCTAAAACTATAGACTACTTCGGACTATATAAGTGTTTTGGAACAGTACTTTCAATGAAGTGTCTCTATTCGATTTGTAATTTTGTTTAAGTCAAATTCTCTCATTGTTATTTTTTCGGTTATATTGTTTATAACAGAATAAATGGAACCATCTAGAGGATGGTATTTTGTTTGCAGATTCGTTGCTGACAATTATCCTGTCTCACGACCACAGCACTACTAACTGGGTAGGTCTCAGCTTGTCACTGCTCACACTTTTCTTTCGATTTGACACTGGATACACAATTTGAGGCGCAAAAAGCACTCAGAACGTACAAAGCATAGATATTGATCGCATCCTCATGCTAATCAATAGGATATATGCAATAGCGCCACACGCGTGATTCCTATGCCTTAGATCTACCTGCATGTTAACTCAAGTAGCCTAAACCACTTACATAACAGAGACGTGAACTAAAATGACTAATATTTAGCGCCAGCCATCCCGACATCGTACTGACGGCCAATCGTCGCCTAATGTCGACGCGATAACTCGTCTATGCCCAGATTCTCCTAAACTGATCTATACATCTACTTTCTCCTAAACACGGAAGGATCTTTGCCTCATCCCTCCGATTTTTAAATCACTGGAGAAAGAAGAACAACTTACTTACCGTGGATCTGTTTTCTTCCCCTCCTTAACGTACCATTGCCACTTTTTAAATTGATTTAAGTGATTTGCATCCATTAAGCTCCTTCATCTGCATGATTTCCTTGCACTTTGTTTCCTCTATGATTATAATTCGCTCAAAGTCAGCATTATGAATGTATATGTGGATATGTGGAATCTTATCAAGTATTGCAGTGAACTGTTAGTTAAATTTTTTTACTTATCCTTGTAAACTAAAATAAGCTACTTACCTGAAGCATACAAAGAATGGAATTTCTATGAGAAGTCAAAACTATGTTGGAAGTACAGCCACAACAATGCTGAGACATTTACAAAACTCCGGACCGCACGTGTCTGCGGTGGGGAACGAGCGCTCTATTGCCCTTCCCGGTAACTAACCCGTTCACCACCACGCCATATGGTTGTACTTCGCATAATACCCTGCAGAAAAATTGCAGTAAGCAGAAAATAACAAGTAAACATTGTGATTTCAACCATAGCCTCAGCTCAACTGGGTTCAATGCCGATGTGGGCTTCCCAGATCAAACCCGTTGACGGGTGACTGGGCACTGACTGATCGAACTAGCTGAGAGACAGGCGAAACGAAGGACACGCAAGGTGTGGTGGTGAACGCGTTAGCCCTCGGAAAAGGTAATAGCGCGTCCATTCCCCACCGCAGACACCTGCGGTCCGGTGTTTTGCGAATATCTCAGCATCGTCGTGGTTGTATTTCGCATAATGCCCTGCCGTAAAAATTGTAGTAGGCAGAAAAAAACAAGTAAACATTACGTTGGAAGTGCGGTTACGTTAAACTCTAGAAAGTTTGTCATCGGTGAATTTCGTTAGCGTGGAGCTTTCAGAGATTTTGAAATCACTTCCTAAAATATGATACTGCAGCGGTGTAACTGCAAAATGAATGCATAGGAAACAGTTAACCATTCACACGATACTGGAAGCAGAAATTATATCAGCTGTCTCGGAATAGTGCATTAGGAATTTGTTGAAATCGAAGTTCATCAATAACAATACCGGTTCCGAAATGAAAGAAACGCTAGCACTGCTTTTAAAACACTTCTGAAACAGCATGAAGCAAGGATCCCATCTTGCGCTGGTAATAAGATATGTTTGAGTGTCCAAGTTTGAGATGCTGTGAACCATTTCTCTTACAATTGAGTGTCATTAACAGTTTTTCGAGTCACTAAGTCATTAACTACTATACAAAGTTGAGGAAGCCGGTAGCGCACTGATAGTGACCCTATTCAATACACGGGCGGCCCTTCCCTCCAAAGCCATGGTTCGACTTCCCGCTGAATCCAGCAGGGGTGTCTTGAAATTGGTACCAAAATTATTTGGGACAAGTTAAAGCCTTCCAATACAAATGGGAACGCCCCAGCACGGATATCTCGAGCTCGCGGGAGATTCGATTCGCACAGTATTTAACGATATTTGCCGTGTAGACGATGGAATCGTCAAGCAGCAGCCGAACCCACGGAAAGAGGGATGTTCGAACACTTTTGTGCAAGATGGACGTGGGGGAACAAGTCGAATGCAAGAAGTGTTGAGGTCCTAACACTGTGATACATATGATGTAATGTAATGGGTCACGTAATAATAAGTGCAATAATAATAATAATAATAATAATAATATTAGAACCACAACGTTGCTGAGATATTTGCAAAACTCCGGACCGCAGGTGTCTATGGTGGGGAACGAACGCGCTATTGTCCTTTCCGGGGAGTAACGCGTTCACCACCACACCATGCGGTTCCTTTGTTTCGCCTGTCTCTGAGCTATTTCTATCGATCTTTGCCACAGCATTCACCCGTCAGCGTCAGTCTTAATCACCCCTTAGTCCCCGGAAAAGACAATAGCGCGTTCGTTCCCCATCATAGACACCTGCGGTCCAGAGTTTTGCAAATATCTCAGCAACGTTGTGGTTGCATTTCGCTTAGTACCCTGCCGCGAAACTATAGTAGGCAGAAAATAAAAGGGTATAATAATAATAATAATAATAATAATAATAATAATAATAATAATAATAATAATAGTAATAAAGAAAGAGTTCCTGGCAGCGGTCTACCACCTCGTCGTGGTTGCGAGGTGATTCTGGGTGCCAGGCTGTGATGTATAGCGGGGGATTCATTTCCTCAGCAGGGTCTCCCAAGTTAATGAGTCCGGCGTTTCCATCAGAATGCCCAGCTAAGAGTAAACCAATACCAGGATCACCACCGTCCTGGTATCAAAGTCGCATGGTGGCAAATCTTCCTCTGATCCACAAGGGCTGCGACTGCCTGCGGTGGTGACGACCAGGGGCAGACTTTGGCCAGACTGACCTCGGGGCACCAGATAACCATAGTGGCTAAGCCAGCAAGACTCCGAAAAAGTGAAGATTATTTTGGGGTTTGGACAACCAGTGAGGACGGATCATCCATGTATCCAAATGTGCAAGTAATCACAAAGTTACAACTTCTATACATATAACAGGACACCCTACACCCCACTAATAATGTTAAATGCGGCGAACGACGTGTAGTAAGAAAACGTTGAGAATTTCAACAACGGCTAAGGCAATCGGACTGCTTGTCAAGCTGATTTGACTCCTGAATAATTGGCCTTATAAAGCACCCTCATGTTTACCACAGGCAGACTTATGTGTATGTCGTATCGTCACTTAGACGTGTTTATCCGTAACTACAGGAAACTTTTTCTTTCACGACTAGATTGTTTATATTTGAAATTGTGCATTTGAAACCGGCGACTCCACCTCGACTGCAATGCAGGGAATGGATGGATTGTTCCAGGTTTGTTGTTTATGTGGTATTTTATTTCTGGAATAGCGAAAAGGATCTCTTTTGGAGCGCTTAAGCCAGCGATTTATTGTAGTGATGGAATTAATGGTGCAGAGAGGTTATTTAGCCTTTCGAAATTACTACAAGCAATGATTCTCTATCCGCCAAGTTTATTTACTATATGGAAAATGTGTTTTTCTGTATGTGTTTTTCTGTTTCAACAGTTTTTTCAGTACCTATCTGCGTCCTGTAGAACTTTACTTATAGGTAGAGAATGGTCGATTATTTGAGTATTATACGGAAAACCGCAACAAGTTCAATTTCTAGAATGGTTTTGCTTCCCATTGCTTTCGTTGATAGTTCTGAATCAGGTTAGCCACTCTCGCTTTCACACAGGCTAAAGTCGAGTAAGCAAGTCCGATATCTAACTTGATTTTTGTTAATCGTCTGGTGTTTCGAATACGCTTCTATGCTATAAAAGTTAGAATCGTGGCTTTAAATACGGTTTCGAAGCACTTCTAGGGTACTAGACTGATGGAG